TCGTAAGGATACCTCGGGACCTCGGCTGGCCGCGTGGGTCAGAGTGTCGTGCTACTGATCAGCCGGCCGGCCGGGCCGCGAGTTCGAATCTCGCCTTCGCCATGGATGTTGTGTGTTTGTTTTAGGCAGCAGCGGTGGCCGCAGTAGTAGACCCTTCGGTCTCCTGATCAGCCGCCGTGCGCTGTGCGGGTTCGAGTCCCGTCCCAGGAGAAATGTTTCTCTTGGCCATGGATGTTGTGATTGTCCGTAGGTGGTAGATGGTCTCTGACTGTCGAACGCGGAGGTACCACCCGGCGGTTCTCGTAGGCGGAGCCAGAATGTGTGCATGTTGCATGCACACGTGTTCCCTCGCCAGAGTCCGTGTGGCGTCCCCCCTTTCCCATGTATCCCCCATAGCCCCACGGTACCCAATGGGTGCTTAGGCCTTAGGCCTTCGTGGTAGTTGGAGTATAAAAAAAAAAAAAAAGGAAGAAGACCCAACAGCAGCAATTTCTGTAGTTTTTACGAAGTTCATTGAAAACTGTCAAGACTGTTATGGTATGGGAGAATCAATGACAATTGATGAGATGCTCGTTAGTTTTAGGGGGAGAACTCATTTCAAAATGTACATGCCTGCCAAACCCTGTCAATATGACATAAAGCTTATGTGTCTCACTGATGCTAGGACGAGTTATCTTTGCAATGCTTATATTTACTGTGGGAAAGGATCCGATGGATTTGGACTAAGTGCAGAAGAACAGAAGTTTTCTAAACCGACCCAGGCTGTTATACGCCTCGCTAAACCTTTTTTTGGGAGCAATCGGAATATAACAGCTGATAATTGGTTTACCTCCATGGAGCTTGTAGATGTTTTCCTCAAAAATAAACTTACCTACGTCGGAACAGTTAGGAAAAATAAAAGAGAAATTCCCACGGAGTTCTTGCCGAACAAAAAGAGAAAATTAGGATCATCATTATACGGATTTCGAGAAGAGGTCACCATGCTTTCCCATGTGAGTAAGCCTGGAAAATCGGTAGTCTTAGTTTCTTCTATGCATGATAAAGAATTTACTGATCCGGAAACACAAAAGCCAGAAATCATTGCCTATTATAATCGGAACAAGGGAGGTGTAGATACAATTGACGAGAAGTGTTCTAAAAGTTCTTCAAGTCGACGCACCCGTAGATGGCCGCTTGCGATATTCTTCCGTATACTTGACATTTCTGTAATAAATTCGTATATTTTACATCAATGTTTCAAGGACAACATAGCAGTTCGGGAAAAATCAGTGTTTGTAAAAGAACTAGCAGCTGACTTAGTTCGGGAAAACATGGAGAGGCGCCAGAAAAATTCTCGAGTACCTCGCGATATACGCAGCACTATTAGTAGAATTTTGGGAATACCGGAAGTAGATCAACTACAAGCAGAAGAGGATCTAGTGCTTCAAAAACGCAAGGGATGTTACTTATGTCCACGAGCAAAACACCGTATGACAAAATATTTATGTGTGCAGTGTAAACGTGCAATTTGCTTACAATGTTCGAAACCATTATGTGATATGTGTATAAACAAACGAAATATTTAGCTCTTGCTACAAGGCAACTTGGTTAGGTTTTAATTGATTTTTAAGTTGGATTATATAATATACTACTTTTTCAACAAAGTTGTCCAAAAATATTACAATATTTTCACTTTTTTGTATAAGCCGAATTTTCTTTAGAGTAAATATTGTGTTTAAGTTTATTACTATTACTATAATTGCATTAATAATACCGAAAATGTATAAAGTATCGTTATTTTTAGTAGAAGTAACCTCATTTGTCACTACAAAATTCCAAAAATAAAGTTAAAAAAAAACGAGCGTCATTTTGTTTATTTTTGATAAGTAGTCTGTCAGACGACACATGGCTGTTTATGCCAAAAATTCTCACAAGGTGGGTTAAGGGCTAAGTTCGCAATACCACCTCGCCATAGCCTTATTTGAACAACATTCGTGTTTTAACTTTATTCAGTCGCATCGGTAGCGGAGACATTTACCACACCCTGTATTTTGGTAATATGACATTTCCGGGCATATGTTTTGTTAATGCGAGATCTGAAACTTATTCTGCTGTTTTCATGCTGATAGAACTCCACGATTTTCTGGTCAAATGAAACCACATATTTATCTAGAAATTAATCTAGTGTTTCGGCTACCACAGTGGCATTGCTTAAAGTGCAATACTTTATTGCAATACTCTCGGAAAGAACAAATAAAGAAAAGAGTAAGTTCTACATAATTAATTGTGGTTTCATTTGGAAAGAAAAACATGAAGTTCTATATGTTAATGTCATTTTTATTTTTACTCATACTCTACAATGATGCTATTACGTTTGGTACTGATACAGTATCTCTTCTAGAGTTTCAAATACTCACAGAGCTCAATATACAATTTAAAGTATTATTCTAATATGAATAATAATCAAGGTTTAACAACAAGAATAGACAGGCAATGGAAGGAAACATCGTTTGTTTTGCTGACGATACTCCTGCCCTTTATGATACAACGGATGAAACAAAATAGGGTAATGGGTTGACAATCGAATCATTTAACTGTGGAAAAACTAACTTCATCCCTTTCTGTTCTTATGTTATACTTCCCTACTTCCAAAAGTAAATGTGGATAAACACGAAATACGATAGTGTATCGGTGCAAAGGATAGAATCTTTCGAAATATACAGGGTGATTCATAAGCGTCACCAAAATTGAGACATCATACTCAGGACCGCATTTTAAGGGGGGTCTTTTAGGTAACATTTTTTCCTCGAGGGCTTCATTATGTTTAAGAATAAAAAACAATTTTTTTAATATCTTCAATGCTGTCAACTGGAATGAACTAAAATTTGGTATGTAGATTGTATTGTCCACATTCAAATGTCTTTAGTTAAAATTAACGTGCACCAGTGGCGGAGATACAGGGGATTGGTGACATTATTTTTCCAAATAAAAATAGTACGCCAACGTTTTTTTTTTTCGAAACGAGCAATTTTTCGAATTTTACCTTCAATTTGCTACAATAATTACTCTTGTGCTTTTTTTCCTAGAGTGCACTGTTTTCGTAAAAATAAAAACAAAACAAATTAGACCATTCATGAAGAGCCGAGATACAATTAATTTCAAATAAAATAGGAGGCCTTGATACCAACTTGGCATTTCTTGGGAGATAGTTCGTCAAAGTTATGTGTTATACGGTTGTTATCGTTACTAAGTTTCTTTTAAAAAAATTTTGAGTGTTGTGAAATGGAATTTAGCAATGATGAGTACACCGATATCATTTTTGTGTGCGGGTTCTGTAATGGAAATTTCCTAACAGACGCCAACCTACCCCAAAGGTTTTTACGCGTTCATTTCTAAGACATCAGCAATATGAAATTGCCAAACTTCCCGGAGTTAGAGGCCATGGTGTCTGGCATACTGTTCAAGAGCAGCTGGAAGTGATTAATTTAGCATTGGATGATCTAGTACAAGTACTAGCAGGATTCCAGCCCAGTTACCACCTTCCCAAACTCTTGCTTGGAGAATTTTAGATCGGGAAGTTTTACAACCCTACCATCGGTAAAATGTACAACGTCTGCAATCCGGCGACGAAGTGCATCGGCGAAATTTTTGTGAGTGGTTACTGCAAATGCGTAATCAAAATGCAGACCGTATTGTCACAACGTATAAATGCAAATTCATACTTAGCTTTTCTAGAGAATTACATAGAAAATGTGTTAGATGATGTTCCGTTAGCAACGAGAGTACGAATGTGGTATCAGCACGACTGTGCCCCACCGCATGATCGTCGTGATATAATCGCATGGTTAAATAATCATTTTATACAACGATGGATTGGCAGAAACGGACCCGTACATTGGCCTGCGAGGTCTCCTGATTTAAACCCCCTGGATTTCTTTTTGTGGGACGCTTTTAAACAACTACTGCATGATGAACAAATTAATACTGTTGATCAGTTACAAGAAAGAATAGATAATGCGTTTCAACAAATTCAAGCCTCAATGGTGGTCTTTATGAACATTTATTAAAGCTTTGATTATCTAATTTTTTTACGAAAACAATGCACTATAGGAAAAATCACAAGAGTAATTATTTGTAGCAAGTTGAAGGCAAAATTCGGCAAATTGCGCGTTTCGAAAAAAAAAACAGTTGCGTACTATTTTTATTTGGAAAAATAATGCCACTAATCCCTGTATCACCGCCCCTGGTGAACGTTAATTTCAAGTAAGGACTTTTGAATGTGGACAACACCTAGGTAAATCCACATACCAAATGTTAGTTCCAAGAAAAAATGTTACATAGAAGACACCCCTTAAAATGCGGTCCTGTGTATGATGTTTCATTTTTGGTCACGACTTATATATTGACGATTCTCTCAGATGAGACGCTCATATTGAGTATATGTGTATGATAGGGAAGTTGCGCACAGTATTTTATGGTCTAGCTTAAACGCATCTTGGTATTATTGCCTGGACCTACGGTACTATTGCTTAGAGAGCTGTAAATATCGTATATGTTCGAAGCTTGGAAATAATACAAAAATTCACTATACAGACGATTTTTAAGAATCCAAGGTTACATCCGATAAAGTTATAGTTCAATTTTTCTTCAACAACTATATTTACACACAGTACTGGTGAAAGCTATACTGACAGAAACAACATGAAACATAATCATACACATGGAAGAAACATCTTGTAGGAGTTCCAAGACCAGACAAAAGTCCTATAGTTGTAATCGACCTATGGGGGGTTGTCTTGTGGATAGTTTTAATACCTCTGAATTTGTTGGCGTGCTTTTTTCTAACATGCTTTTTGACGTATACTATTTCGCGGTTATCAAGTATAGTCGGACTATCGCAATCTCTGTTAACGCGTTTTCTCTTTGTTTTGAATGAGATCAGAATTTATTTTTGAATACAATAGCTTTGTACGCTCTATGTGGCTGTTGGTATAGTCATTGAGGAGTAATTGGTCGATTTTGATATCGTACCATGGATTCCTATGATTCCAGGGAACCTGTAAAACAATATATTCGCAAGAAAATCTTATTTTTAGAGTGCAATTAAGAATACAGTAAACGCAGATTACATACATAGTTTCTTATCTAATTGCTCGAGGCTTAGTCAAACGAATAAAGTTTGCGTAGCGGACGTTTCAAATTACTTACATGCACTTTTCATTGCTGGTCCGTCATGACGGTCTTTTTCTCCGTATTAACAGTTTGTAGTCTACACGGCTTTGAGAATTTGTTGGAGTGCTTTTTTCTAACATGCTTTTTGACGTATACTATTTCGCGGTTATCAAGTATAGTCGGACTATCGCAATCTCTGTTAACGCGTTTTCTCTTTGTTTTGAATGAGATCAGAATTTATTTTTGAATACAATAGCTTTGTACGCTCTATGTGGCTGTTGGTATAGTCATTGAGGAGTAATTGGTCGATTTTGATATCGAATGGTTGATTCGACGTAATATGTCCATTGATTATATCTATATGCTTTAATTTTGTGACAGAATGTAAGGTGTGGTTCTAGGCTAAAATGGCATACAACATTTTCATTTTTATAGGGGCTTTCTGAAAGCCTTCTGTGTTCAACAATCTTAAATGTTCGGTGATAGTTGAATGAAATCGTTCAACGACTCCATTAGAATCTGGATGATTTGGCGAAATAAAATGAAGCTTAATTTTATGAAGTGACAAAAGTTCAGCTACAACAGTATTTTTGAATTCAATGCCATTATCTGCGATAATTCGGGTAGGAATTCCATGATGAGAAAAGAATAATATCATATTATTAGCAATTTCAGTCCCTGAAAGCGAAGTAATCTGATATTCTTGAGCATATTTAGAAAAACTGTCTATAATTGTGAAAAATGTTGACACTCCAAAAGTGAACGTATCGATCGCTTTTGATGCAGTGGGGGTGAGATTCATCGCAATTTTTATCGGATGACGCTCGTATTTACATTGTTGACAAATTTCACATCCATTTATAAATGTTTGAATTGATTTTTTCAAGATGTCCTTGATATCAGTTTTATCTGTAAAGTCGACTAATTTGGTTCTGCACATTTTGAATTTCAAAGTACCAGACTTAAACATCCTTTGTAGAACAACAGAAAATTTTTCATATATATCTGGATTTTCAAAGTATAAGTGACAAATTACGTTAGGAGCAATATAATCTCGAATAAATTTAAATATATCATCGTCAAAATCATTTTCTGAAAATTGAACGTTAATTCGTTGCTTTCAAATAAAATAGAAATTTTTGGTGGTGCAGATGAATTTTTTACTGTATTTATGATAATCTGATTATTTCCCTGATTAACTGCGTAATCAACTATAGGAATTGTCTGAATGGGGTGTTGGTCCGCATTTGAATGTACAGTTTCGTCTGGATTTTCAGGACGATTATTTTGATATTCTAGATTGGCTTGTTCATGTTCAATGATATCTACAATTTCGTCAGGGGGTTGAATAAGACTGTCTTCGTCATTATCGACGTTTACGAAGATAGATTCGGTATCAGGTTGTTTTGGGTAGAAAAGTTAAATGTAGGTGTACTTAATTCAGATGAGCCTTTCTGAACTGGTCGGTCAAACTTAACGCTTTGGTGTTGAGTACCCGCGCATTCTTGAATCAAATCATCTAAGTCGTTCCAAAATGAACTGGTTTCTTTTGTATGGATCTCTACAAGAGACAGGGCATCTGCATTGGTATTCAGTTTGCCTTTCTTATAGACGATATTCATATCATACTCGTCTAACCTTTTTTCCATCTTAGTAATTTTGAAGAAGGGTCTCGAAGGGACCATAAGTATTTTAAGGGCATATGATCAGTAATTAGATTAAATTTTCTCCCGTAAAGATAGGGCCGAAAGTATTTAGTCGCCCAGACTATTGCTAGTAATTCTTTCTCAATCGTACTATAATTTCGTTCGGAATCATTAAGCGTGCGCGAAGCATAGGCGATAGGAAGATCCTGTCCTATAGGGCCTTGTGAAGGTACACAACCAAGGGCTACGTTACTCGCATACGTGGTTAAGTTAAATGGCTTAGAAAAGTCTGAATACTCGAGTATCGGTTGACTCATAGGAGCATTTTTACATTTTTCGAAACAGTCAATAAATTCAGCATCGTGTTCAATTTTGGCTCCCTTTTTTAGACATTTAGTTAGAGGCTTTGTGAGTTTCGCAAAATCTTTTATAAAACGTCTAACCAATAAGTCCGAGAAAGCTTTTAATCTGCTTAGTCGTTTTTGGAATCGGAAATTTTTGGATGGCAATAATTTTATCTGGATTTGGCTTAACGCCGTCTGGTGTGACTACATGTCCGAGATAAGCTGCTTCTTTACGAAGGAATTCTGATTTGTCGAGCTGTATTTTAAATTCTGAATTTCTGAGTCGTTGAAAAACTGACCTTAAATTTTCATTATGTTCTTGAAGGGATGTAGAAAAAATTATAATGTCGTCGAGATATACGAGACATTTCTCGTTTTGTATCCCCCTTAAAATATTATCCATGACGCGTTGGAATGTGGCGGGCGCGTTTTTTAGGCCAAAAGGCATCCGGAGAAACTCCCAATGCCCAGTTTGGGTACTAAAAGCGGTTTTCTCTATGTCTGTTTCCTCCATCTCGATTTGATGAAAACCACTCGCTAGGTCAAGGGTAGTAAAATACTGGCATCTGCCAAGTTTGTCAAGCAAGTCGTTGATATTGGGTAACGGATATTTATCGTTAATAGTCTGTTCATTTAATTTTCGGTAGTAAATTACAACTCTCCATTTTTGCTTCCCCGAAGCGTCTAGCTTCTTTGGAATGACCCAGATAGGTGAATTATAACCTGAGCTACTTGGACGTATTATATTGGAATCCAACATTTTTTGTATTCGGATATTTACTTCGCCTCTGTGAACAAATGGATAGCGATACGATTTTGTGTAAATGGGCCTTTCGTTTTTGGTTTTTATTTGATGTTTGACTTTATTAGTAAATGTTAGTGGAATTCTGTCCTGGTAAAAAATGTCTGAAAACTCTCTGCAAAGTTGAAGTATCTTTGATTTCTCTTCAGAATTTAGGTGATCAATCCTTATTTTCGACAAATCTAGGTAAAATTTTTCTGATGTGTCTAAATAATTGAGAGCAATTTCTAGCATTTCTGATAAATTAAATGATTCTACTGAAATCGGCTGAGAAAAATTAAATGTAACGGGCTTAGTATTGTTATTCAAAATCGTTATTAGCGCAAAATTATTTTTTGCTATCGTAAGGCATTCAGGTATCTCGGAATTATGAAATTTTTTATGAGGAATTACGATTTCACCATTGGCGATCGATGTTTTGATTTTTATTACTTGTGCGGTTCGAGGTGCGACGGTTATCAAATTTAAGTTGTTAGAAAGCAGGTGAAATTTTAGTCTAATTTTGGCGTATGGCGTATGTAAAGTTCCTTTGCTTAAATTAATATAGGCTCTCAATAATTTTAGATTATCTAATCCAATCAATCCATCGAAAATATTGTGAAATTTAAATAGGTAAAACTTTATTTGTGAGCGGATTTTTGAAAATCAGTTGATACAACAAATGGATCATCTCTGATTAAATTTGAAAAAAATTTACGAGCAATACTGGGATCAACAAATGGTCCAGAATCGATCAACATTTTAATTCCATATTCGGGAAAAAGAATGTAAGATAGTTCGCTAGCATTGCTGGCGTTAAGTGAAATTACCTCTGGTGCTAGGTTTTGTGGTCTATGAATGAGTGCTTCTGAAAATTTTGAGGTGGTTCTACGTGATCAGTTTCAGGATTATCTTGTGTATAATACTCGCAATATTGATCAGTGAAATATGTATCTGAATTTTGTGGTTCAGCTACAGTTTGATCGCAAACAAAAGATTCGTTACCAGGAACTTCATAGGTGTTATTACTTTCTGTCTCTCTATTGAATAGCTCTTCAGCGATCCAATATTGTTTTGGTTGTTGCTGGGCTGTCGAATTATGTTCAGGTTTGAAAGAAATTCTAGTAGAAGTACTCATTGGAGTAGTTTGTGGCAAAGTACGGCTAGGGTTAGGTTTGAAAACATTTCTGTTATTCTGTGTTTGTCCAAAAACCTGAGAATTTGTCGGAAATCTCTGAGGACGAGAAACTGGCCTTAGCAAGTTTACAGGTCCAGTCGGAAAAGTCGAATTGAATCTAGGTTGAAATGTTGAAGTGTTCGGCTGACTGAATGAATAATTAGTAGGCTGACAGTATGAAGGTATATTTTGATTAATCATTGGCCTTTGCATTGGCCTGGAAGTTTTATTCTGTGGCACATTTTGTGATTTTCCAAAAGTTTTGTTATAATTTTGGAAATAGCTGACATTCAGATATAACGAATTGTAAAGCTTGGCTGAGAGATGTGGGTTTCATACATCTAATTGTTGTACCCAAGGGCTCTCGTAGTTCGCACAAAAATGTTTTCAGAGCTAATTCTTGATATAAATTTCTTTTTAACACTTTTGCTTCTTCAGAATGTTCATGAACGCTTACATAGCTGCATAGTAGATTCAAAATATGAAGACACTTATAAAATTTTTGAGGCGTTTCATTTGGCATTTGCCTCAACATAACCAAATCACGGTTTAGACAAGTTTAATCTCTTTGATCAGAAAAATTCCTAGTCAGAATACCTTTTAAATCTGCCCAACTTGTGATATTTTGGATGTTCACAAGCACTTTTTTCCTTTTAATTTCGAGATCAGTGAATTTAGAAAATAGATATTTTGGAAATTATGTGGGTTCCGTATATCATAAAAATTTGCAATTAACGTTTCACTCACTGATATAAACCTATTTAAGTCATTAGGATTTCCGTCAAACTCTGGGACGCAATTTAAAAATTCTGGTCTGAATTGAGACATGCTTGGAATATTTTCAATATTTAACCTAGGTGGTCTTAAAATAGGTGAGTCTGTTGAAAGTGTCAAATTATCTATAGCCTCTGCAATATCTTCCAAAGACATTTAAAATGTATAGTAGCACTTACGCTAATACGAGGATGATCAAGTGCATCACGTTTCTTTCTTTGTCTTTACTTGGTTGCTTAACCATATCTTGGTTGCGCGATCTGGTCCTTCTCCAAAATGTTCCGCTTGCAGATTTGGGCGATGTATGGTCCAAATCCCTGACTTCGTAGGTGGTAGCTGCACAAGGTGTCTTCGATAGACCGGCTCCCCTCGAACTCCCACTCACCAAAGTCCGTAGGCCGTTTTTCCGGTAAATTCGTCGATACGAAAACTGCTTTCGCGGCCTCGATTGATTCGCGAAACAGCCCGAAAATCCTACTCTGACGGCGCCAATTATCTGACCGAGTCAGTCTACTTGCTTTTTAAAAAGATTTATTTTCGATTATCAAAATACAATTCTATTGATGTATATATTATGAGCGCTAACAACAGACTAACTAACTGTGAATACAATAAAATAGGACTGGATAAGGCAAAGTGCTGATCCAGGGAAACTCGATCCTCTTCTTTAGTGGTAGGGGTAAATCTTCTGTACTATAACGCGTGTGGGTTATGACACAAATGGAAAGAAATTGAGATCCTGTGATAAAGGATCGCAAAAGTCAAACAAGACTCCATGCGATAACGCATATGATATAAAGGGAGATAATGGCTACTGCGATATGCTCAAAATATGCAAAATGATCTCTATATAGCAGGGTCGAGAATTTTGCAAACAAAACTATATTCGATACAATACAGGATGTTTTCAAAATTGATTCATTTATTTTAACAGCTTATACGTAGAACTCGTCAAATGAAGTTGATGTAACAATAATCACCTATATAAAAGTTACATAATAAGAGAGTTAGTTTACATTAATCAATATTATTTGAAAAGAATCATTGTTTATCGTTAAATGGATACCGTCATTACAAAAACTGTTCAAAACTGTCCCAATTTGTTCGATTAACGCAAAATCTTGCTGGGCGAATCTATGACTCTTTACAAGCTTCGAAAATAAAATCCTGGTGTCAAGGAATTAAATCACAAGCATTTTCAGTACGCTGTTGTAGTCCTTCCAGAGTAATTACTGCTCTACCATGATACTCTAGCTACTTCAAATAGCCCCACAGAAAAAAATCGCAAGGCGTTAGTCCGTGGAGCGAGCAGGCCAAGGAATGGGTCCATTGTGCCCTATCCATCTATTCGGAAACTCATTATTTAGATGTTCATGGACTTCTCGTCTAAAATGTGGTGGAGTCCCATCACGTAGGAATCACATATTCTGTCTCACCTTTAGAGGAACATCTTCTCACAATTGTGGCAGATTGTGTCGAAGATAATCTAAATAAATTTCACCGGTCCGTCGAGATGGAAAAAAGTATGGTCCACTAAGCATGCCATTTGGCACTCCACTTCGTGTAAGTGTGGCCTTGTATCTACATAAAATTAATTTCGTAAAATCTTCATTTCTGCCGAACTGTTCTAAAAGCCATTGGCAAAATGCAACTCTTCTAGGATGATCTTCATTGTAACGCTTGTACTCATTGATAAGGGTAATACCGTTCTTCTAGTCATATTGTCTTCCACGCTTTACTATGAGAAACTTCAGCTTGAGCTGCTATAGCTCTAGTACTCATTGTTGGGTCGTCTTCGACCATTTCTGACATCCACGTTGTTCTTTCAAATATCCTGTGTCACGAAGTCTGATAACTAGATTTACAAACATCCGTGGGGCAGGATGATTTCTTTCCTAGTACAAGCCGCATACTGCAACTGCGTTCTGTTGGCACTCTCCGTATCTTAGTACATACTATGGCCACTAGTTCATTGTTTTCGTAAACACGGGTCATTTTTTCGCACAAAATAATCAGACAAATGAATGTATACGCACTATTAAAAGACTGATGCAACCGATCAAACCATAAAATAACACAAAAAGTTTGCCAAATTTAAATAAACGATAAGAGTAGTAAACAAAAAACGAAGAGTTTACATGGCAGTGGTCGAGAATATCAAAAAATCTGTGTTATAACATTATTATTTTTTAAAATTTTTAATATCTCACTATTTCTTTAATTATGCAACTTTTATTTAGGTGATTTTTGGTATATTAACTCCTCTTGACGAGTCCTGCAAGCAGTTGAAATAAATGACTCAACTTTGATTTGTATATGATACATAGGGAGATGAAGGTTTATTCCTATATATTCTCTATATATTAGAGGCCGATTATAAAAGTTTGCGAATGTGCAAACAATTAAACAAACCCTATACGATACCGCATGACATAAAGGAAAGTAAATTGTTATTTATATATGTTGGACGGAATCTGGCCTCTACACTGAAAACCAAATTTGAGTGACGCGAGTTCAATGTGTACGAGGAACAAGCGCTAGAAGTGTGTAAGGTACATATGTTAGAAAGAGCTAGAAGCCGGCTGGATAGCGAAGCTCATTGCCACGTTGTCTAGCAACGGTGACGCAGAAGGTCGTGTAATCTGAAAATATGCGTTAGTTTATTCTTTACGCTTAAATAATAGCTTTATTTAGAGCGAAAACATTTTTGAATTGCGTAAATAAAGGGTTTTTCAATTAGGATGCATTAATGCTCATCTGTAATAAAGCAAGTGGTGTATGATCTTAATACATTAACGAGATCACTTTTTATTTGAAATTCCATTGTATGGGAACTGGGATGGAATATGGAATATGACGATATGACGTGTGAGTCATCTGTCCACCGTGGGATCGGACAGTGGCACGGATTCATCAAGTTCACATTTTAGTAATCCCACTGCGTTTCATTTTCATAGTTTTCGAAAAATTAAAAAGAACTACATTGACTCTAAAGTTCCCACACCCTCAAAACTGTTTTAGGGCAAATTTCAGTGTACCTCATGTATGAAGATGAATTATGATGTGAAATCTCAAGTTCGACACGAATCTGCTGGCAAAAATGGTGGTTAATTATTAAATTCACAAACTTGACCTCCAAATAACCTTTGACGTTTCCTTCAAACGCAACCGTCAGTGGAGGTCACAGATTTTCACAATAAGTTTCACATACACTCGCGAACGAAAAGTTTCTCTGATAACTATGGTACAGTAAGGCCACAAGTGTAGAAACTGTCGTTGCGCAATTTGCCTTTACGTATCCTGACCGACCTTGCCCTAGTCCGACCACGGTTAGGATCATTTTCCGAAACTTCGTCAATAATGGCTGTACATCTCTTGGTGACATGGGAGAATGCTGAAGAAGAAGAAAATGTTCCAGAGGACAAGGTTGCCAGTGATGAGGCTGTTTGTGGTTATGTCGAAGAGACCCTTCAGAGGAGGAACCCCAACCTTGTTCAAGTAGTACCGTGTCAGAAGACGTAGGCGTTCCGGTAAGTACAGTCAGGCATATTTTGGAGAAGCATGGCTACAAGCCATTTAAGTACCAAAAAAACGCAGGGTTTTTCCCGCTGATTATACCAGTAGCATGGAGTTTTGTGGTGCCATGCGAGAAATTATTGATAACGAATTTTCTGACGAATCCAGATTTTCTCTTCATAGACATCATTATCCCCCCAAATCTTAGCTATTGGTCAAGGGAAAACAAACATTTAAGTTTACCATTAAGGTTGCAGTATCTCCAAAATTTTAATGTTTGGGAGGTATTTAAGGGGATCACATTGGGAATGTTTCTTCATTAATGGTACCTTAAATTCCTCGCGTAATTTAGAACTGTTTCAACACGAAATTATGTTTGGTTTCAACAAGATGGATGTCCTGCTCACAACGCGAGGGAGTTTCGAGAATTTTTGGAAACAACGCCTGATGTCTACACATGGCGACATACAATAGCCAATGAGATCTCCTGACTTGGTGCCTGATGATTTATTTTTGTGGCAATATGTGTAGACTTCCATTTACGGTTGCAAGGGCTAGCACTGTGAAGGAGTTGCGGCTGAAAATAATAGAAGCATGCCGTTAGGAGACTCCTGAAATGCTAGAAAATGTTCGCACAGAGTTCTACAATAGGTTAGGTTACTGATATGTCCAAGAAGAAGGTCTGTTCGAGCATTTAATTTAGTATTTAGTTTTCATGTTGGTTAGAATTATTTATTTCAATTTTGATGCAACTTAGGGCCGTCAGTCGTTTCTACAATTGTAGGACGCCTTTATGGCCTCCTTGATTTCCACAATATCTTACATCTTTCAGTAAGGAACGTGTGTGACTGCTTTAGATTTCTCCGCTGCTGTCAATTGTGATGTTAGGTTATGTTGGTTGGTCAAATGCCGAAACAGTTTTCTTGCAAATCGTTCAAGTTGTGGTATCTTCAAATCCCATATCTTGTATTCATGATCTAAAATGAACAATTTAATGCAAATGGATGTGTATTTATAGCCCAGCAGCTTACAACCAAGCTGTTTCTTGATGAAGGTAGGTAAGTTACAAAAATAATCATGGCATATTCATATTTATATACTTTTATCGCATTTTTTCAGATGTGGTTTATTCTTACAAACTTTATGAGATATTGGATAAGAAACATTGTATCCCAAGTGCAACTGCATTGTTGATATCGGTGATGCTTGTTCACAAATCATTGTTGGACCATGGATTGTGTAGACTGTAGAGTGTCAGGCTACAAGTATGTATAATGTGTAAATGCTCTAAAATTGAGTTCAAACGTACCCTGCCCTATTTGATATTTTTTTATATTAGTGAGAACCTTGAACCAGAAATTTGAAGCTATAATTCTAAAAATTATGATTATTATTATTATTATTATCATAAGGTAGCAGCCCACACCAAGGTGTAAAATTTCCAATTTTTCTTGAATTGATGTATCTCTCTTACAGATATAAACCATCGTGATATTGCATACAAAACTGAATGATCTTCCTAAGAATGGATTTATGCATCCAGGCACTTGAAATCATATTTGAAGGAGCCACAACCTTACAGAAACAAAACGTAAATTTGCTTTTTGTGACTGACATGTGTTACACTGCAAATTGTAAATTAAAGGTAGGCATAAGCCTGTATAATCATAAAAGTTAAAAGCTAATGAGTTCAAGAGGAGCTTTGTTAGACCTGAGCAGGGGGTTGTT